GTCAGAGCACGCATTGTTCCTACGAGAACAACTATGGTTCCATTCATGCAATTTTTTTTTGTTTCAACCATGAAATAGCCACAACTTGATCAAAAGTGAAAGTGACCATCAACCAGTTTGAACTGTCAGTTGTCAAATAAATTAAGACAGAGATAAATGTATTTGCAGGAGTTTTTTAAATTAATTTTTAAAAAATTCATTCATGGAATGATGACATCACTGGATAAGAATGGCAGTTTCCTTCCCTAAAGGACACAGGTGAACAGATGGGTTTTTCCAACAATGACAATGGATTCACGGTCATCATTAGATTCTTATTTCCAGATTTTTTTTAACTCAAATTCCACCATCTGGAATGGTAGGATTCAAACCTTGGTCCCCAGAACGTTATCTCGGTCTCTGGGGAGTGATGGACAGCAGACTAAACAGAAAATATACACTAGAAATCATACAATGTCTTGGTTTATGTATTCATCATGAGATCCGTCACTGCTATGGACACCAGGTAAAGATCTGAAGAGACTGCATTTCCCCCTGGACAGAGTCACAATGGTCACCAGGTTTCATAGCAGATTGGGAAAATGCAATCAGGGATATAGTACATGACTCATCCCAATCTTTTGTTTGGATTTAAAACTTTCCTTTGATTATTATCCACAAAATGAAAGATTACATTGTTTCCAACAAACAAATATCTATTACAAGTTTAAACATGTCAGTGGAGAGCAATAGAATCCGTAATTGTAAAGGTGTGCAGACATATTGACCAGGCATAACTAACAAATAAAGGGCCAGCGAGATTGACAGTGTGGAAGATGGCCATTCAGTCCATTGAGTCCACACCAACCCTCCGAAGAGCACCCCACCCAGTCTCACACCCTACCCTATCCCTGCATTTTGCACACAAGACACTATGGGCAATTTAGCATAGCCAATCTACCTAATTTTCACATTTTTGGACTGTGGGAGGAAACCAGAGCACCTGGAGGAAACCCACGCAGACACAGGGAGAATGTCCAAACTCCACACAGTTGCCCAAGGCTAGAATCAAACCTAGGTCCCTGGTGCTGTGACGCAGCAGTGCTGATCACTGTGCCACCATGCAGCCTCAACAGATCTATGTATAATTTTCTCAATTATAGAGCTTTTCACACTAAATGTGAGCAATTCAGCATGCTCAAGAAAGGATTCACCTCCATCTCAGATTCTTACAGTCAGCCTTGTTTTAGTCTATCCTACTGAACCGAAAACACCCTCTCTGAAATGAGAAGCAGATTCATCATTTCAAGTTCAGCTGACTCTGAGTGACTTTGAACTCGAAACATTAATTCTGTGTTTGTCTCTACAGATGCCAGACCTGAGGAGTTTCCACACCACTTCCGGTTTTACTTTGATCTGCAGCATCCTCAGTATTTTACTTTTCTTCCTGATTTTGAGTCTAGTTTGCACTCTTGTACAATTGCTCCCAGCATCTTTACCATTCCCAGGACAGGGATCAGCACCTTTACTCTCCCAGGGGAGGGATCAACATCTTTATTGCCCCCCAGGGCAGGGATCAGCATCTTTACTGACCCCAGAACAGGGATCAGCACATTTTTCTGTGCACAGGTCAGATACTAGCATCTTTCATACCCCAAGGGAGGAAAATCACCTTTATGTTGCAGGCAAACTTTGTGGATTGGAGTCCGGATGTGAAGATTAAAAGTACCCTGATTGAGTACCTGACAGTGAGCTTTTTTCGTTGAATCGGGTGACAGTCACTGATGTCTCATTCTTTCACAGCTCCATGTATTCCTAATTGGGACAGGCTAAGCAGACGGATCCACACAGTGAACCAAAATTCAAGATTCTGCAGATGTTGGAAATCCAGTCTCAAAACAGAAAATGTTGGAAACACTCAGCAAGACAAACAGTTTTGGAAGAGAAATTTAGTGAAAAATGCGTGTTGCTAACCTTTTACCTGAACTGGATGATATTAGTATTGAATAGTTTATAAACTATGACTGTGTCACGGAAAAGGAGAGTGGAATGCAGGCTTGATGGCGAATGGCCAATTCCTAACGCTAAATTTGATATGGAAGTGCCGATCATGGACTGGGGTGGACAAAGTCAGAAGTCACATGACACCAGATTATAGTCCAAGAGGTTTATTTGAAATCACAAACTTTCAGAGAGCTGCTCCTTCTGCAGGTGGAGTCACCTGATGAAGGACCAGCAGTCTGAAAGCTTCTGACGTCAAATAAACCTGTTGGACTATAACCTGGTATTGTTTGACTTCTGACTTTGCTCCTAACTAACATGTTTGTATGAAAGAATAATGTTTTTGCAAGCAGTTTGGAGGCTGGAGTGACTAAATGACAAAGTTCAAAGTCCATCACAATGATGGTATAAGGCAACATTGTCTATAATGAGAAGTTGATAAACAAATGGGCTAGGAGGAGAAACAAAAGTCAGGCCCAGAGACAGCAAAATGTGAACAGCATTGTCAGTACCTGCTCTCGGACAGAATGGGTGACACAGTTATTGCCCCTGACATTTTAATCATGAATGTTGAGTGCGGAAACATCACCAGAGGGGCCAGGTGGCCTTGGACACAGATGACAGAATGTAACAGAAGATGCAGCAACAAATGGCGAATGGTAGGTAAGCTTTTATTACAAAGGCTTTGAAGAACGAGAGTGAACTCCCCTGGAGTACTGTGAGCAGGTTCCTGTGGTGAGATCTGCCCAAAAGGACTGCGAGCAGTTTTCAGGAGTGAGGTCTGCCCTTGCGGACTGTGAGCAGTTTCTGATGACTGAACTAACATGAATGATCTAGAGCGAGCGTAACAAAGGTTCTCCAGACTGGTTCCTAGGAAGAGGGGATTTCTGAGCAGAAGAAATTGAGTAAACAGGGCTTATATTCTGTGGGATAAAATCCAAGTCACCCTAGTGCTACTGGTCAACCAGGCTGTTTCTCATTCTTGACAGACAAATGGTGGTGGCTAACCTGAGAGTCAGGCAAGGGAAGAAGTCAAGAAGGACAGCCCTCCATGGTCACCTCAGCTGGTGAAGGAATTGAACCCACACTGTTGGTACCACTCCACATCATAAATCAGCCGTCCAGCCAACTGAACTAACTGACAACCAACCTGTGGGATATAGAGAAACAGAAGTGATCTAATTGAATTTTTTTTTTTAAAAAGAGATGCTTGATAGGAACAATGCTGAGTAATTGTTTCCTCTGCCTGGGAAATCTAGGACATGGCGTAATTGTCTCAGAATAAGGGTGTGACCATTTCAGATTGAGGTGAGGAGCAATTTCTTCACTCGCACCACTGTAAATCTGTGGAATTCTCTATTCCAAGGAGCTGTAGATTCTTGGTCATCTAGTGTTGCCAAATCAGGCATTGTTAGATTTTTGTACATCAGAAATGAGGGAAATGGGGATAATTTGAGAAGGTAGAACTGAGGTAGATGACAGGAGGAACAAGGTCAAAGGGCTGAATGGATGTTTACTGTTTCTATTTCTGCATTTGATTCTAGCCTCAGGCTGCTGTCTGTGTGCAGTTCGCACAGTCTCTGTGTCTTTGCAGGTTTCCTCCAGGTGCTCTGGTTTCCTGCCACAGTCTAAAGATGTGCAGGTGAGGGTGGATTGGCTGTGCTAAATTGCCCATAGTGCCTGGGTATGTGCAGACTATGTGGATTAGCCATGTTAAATGCAGTGTTACCGAGATTGGGTGTGGGTCTGGGTAGGACACTCTTCGTAAGTTCAGTGTGGACTGGATAGGCCAAATGGTCTGCATCCACAGTGGAGGGATTCTATGATCTCCAGAAACAAGCCCAAAAAACATGATTTGGATATAGCTAACAGCAGAATCAAAAAACAATCAACAGTTCCTCAGAAATTTGCTGGTAACCAGTCCTAATGAACCAGGAAATCCCTTTTCACATACTGTGCAGGTGGATCGTCTTTAGTCAGTGTGAATGTGTCGATGAATGGTGACAACGTGACTATTTCCAAGCTCTACCTTACAGATACACAACTGTTATTAACATTTTATCCACAACACCAGCACCTTTAATTGAGCAGGGATTAGTAACATCAGTACAAATAGCCCAAAACCATGGTTCATTTGATAGTGAGAGTGACAGCAAAATCCTTCAACTGTGGTTCTTTGTGAACTCATTGGTGTGTTAACAGTTTGGATGACTGAGTGAATGCTTTCCCACACTCAGAGCTCATGAATGATCTCCCCCCACTATGAACCGAGTGAATGCTTTCCCACATTTAGAGCAGGTGAATGGTTTCTCCCCAGTGTGAACGCTCTGATGTCTCAGAAGGTTAGATGAGCAAGTGAATCCCTTCCCACACTGGGAGCAGATGAATGGTCGCTCCCCCGATTGAACTCACCGGTGTATCAGCGGGGAGTTCGAGTCAGCAAAGCCTTTCCCACACACAGAACAGGTCAATGGTCTCTCTCCAGTGTGAACTCACTGGTGTATCAGTGGCCTAGATGGTGAAGTGAAGCCCTTCCCTCAATCAAAGCAGGTGAATGGCTTCTCCCCAGTGTGACTCTGTTGGTGAGTTTCTAGCTGGGATGAGTAAAGAAATCCCTTCCCGCAATCCGCACATTTCCACAGTCTCTCCCCAGTATCACTGCGCTGGTGTTTGGACATTTCAGATGAATCTTCACAGATTCTTCCACACACAGACCATGTGCGTTTCTCCCCAGTGTGAATGCTGCTTTTACCTTCAATGTTCAAAATCCTGAGATAATTGGGTTGTCATAAACAAAGCTACTGTCAGATCTGGATGTGGAACTGTTTGAATTCTCCAATTGCAAACTAAGCTTTCAAACAGAAATTAAGTGCAGTGAGTGAGAAACCAGAAGAACACACACAGATTGTGAAAC